TTATTAAGCTGTTCTGAAATCAGTCTAATAATTCTTCCCATAATAGGATCAAAAAGTGATTTTACAGTTTCAAAATCGAGTTCAATTATCCATTCAACTTTTTTTAATTTTTCGTTGGACGTGTTTCTTCAAGATTAATTCATAGCTTTTAAATCCTTGGGTTTCCAGAAAATGAAAATTTTATTTCAAAAATTCATGTATTTGATCATTATGTTCCAATATTTTTATTTATTCATCGCCTGCATAATGTTTTTCAAGAATTTAATAAATTTTTGATCCGCATAGTCACTTCCACAAAAATCACAATGCATTCAACGACTTCATCTAATGAACAGTTGACATAAATTTACGTGTAGTTAAGTCAACAGTATCGCCGCCATCACAATTAACAATCAGGAAACTTTCATTTTTCCATTTCTTCTTCTAACATTATCTCTTGGATTTCTTCATTAACAAACAGTAATTATAATTAATAATTGTAATAATTAATAGATCATTATTTTTAGTAACAAACTAATGCTTTCAGGTGTGAAAAATGTTCTTTTTTAATACTTGCATATAATGTATCACAGCGGCTTCGGCTAGAAATATAAATTCATTAAATTTATTTAAATTTATAAAGTTAATATTAATTTTATGAATAAAAGTTTGCGTCAGTAGTAAATTTCGATTTTTCTGAAATTTAGAGTTAATAACTAATTAATACAGTATCATGTCAACAGTCTCTTAATAATCCTATTGGTTTTTCAGAATATTCTGTAGATATAACGAGTACTAACAATACAATTTCCAAAAGATTAATAAGTCAACGTATTTCAATAATAATATTTGAAATTTTCTAGTAAAGATTATAATGCAATATTCAAAGTGTATTTCTATATATTTCATATTTGGTTTATTTATTTATCAAAACAAGGTAAAGGGTATTATATTATATCAGTAAATTTTCTTATAAATTATTGTATTGAAATTAAAGTTATATTACTTTTACTTACCTGTTTCTCTTGAATAATCTGTAATCACTTTTCTATAATCTAATGAAGGTTTTTTTGAGTTAGGCAATGTGCTCAAATGAAGTTTAAATAATTCAAAAGGTTCACGATCAAAATTCTTGTTAATTATCAGCCAATGCTAAATAAACCCATTCTAATATATTTTCATCATATTGTAAAATGGTAATGATGTGTCACAAAAATTTAAGTAGCCACAAAATAACTTTCATCAAAACTTACCCAAACATCGTATCATCGTATAAGCTTATGGTTATTATTTCAGGATTTTTTTTTATGCTATAAATAAAAAATAATCAAAATGCTTATATTAATAAACCTTCTATTCTTAAGAATTATTAATATAAAAATTGGAACGTAAATACGCTGAATATGTGAACTTTGATGTATGTTTATTAATAAATCATCCTATAACTTACTGAATATTTTATTCTCGAAGATTTTTTTTCGAAAGTAAATTTTAATAAGATTATAAATTAAAGGCATATATACAGTAATATCAAACTTATCAAGTGCAAGAATAATTTTTTTCAGATATTTTCATTAATAAACGAAATTAAAAACAAAAATGACCAAAATGATGATTATAATTTTAAAAAAACGCAAATTTATGTCACGAAAAATGATATGTAAAGATAAATAAAAATAAATCTTACATATTAAAGTAAATAAATTTAATAAAATACTAATTCCTTATAATAAAATGAGCATCTACCACATGGATTTATTCATATTTAATTTAATTAGATAGTAAAAATCAAAAGAAAAGGACAAGCATCAATAACTCGCCAGTTATATTAAACACGAAAATCTCAATGAAGACTTCATCACTTTTAAGTTGTTAAAATTTTAATAGATAATAATTAATTTTATTAATAAACGGGCCTTACATCTCACGAGTATGTTTTAACAAAAGAATAGATGAATATTAATACTTTTCCTGTTATTCAAATTACTCAAATATATGTAAATGGTTTTTAAACTATTTTAAAGTTAATTTAGCAAAATACAGAACGTCAATAATATTCAAAAAAAAAAGAGTCTGATATTGATAGCAAAAGATTAAAATCTGAATAATCTTCAGTTTAATAATGCTAAAACGCGATAATAAGTTGTGTATGAGTAGTAGAAATCTTCACAAATAAAATAAAATTTATAAATATCCAGTAACTTTATTTGATAATATAAGGAAAGATAATACAATAATAAAATAAAAAATATGAAAATAATGAATTAAAAATTCTTTAGGGTTAAAATTGCTAGCCTGAATTTAAAGGATCAGAAATTCAAATTCTTGATCGTCTAAAATTTTTTTAAATAAAAAAAAAAATCAAATTAAATTATGCAATAATTTAGAAATTAAAATACAATAGAATCATATTTGTTAAAACGTTATTTGTTTGAATTATTAGCTCCAATTCTTTTAAGATACTGTTGTTCCATTTCTATAATTGCATCATAAAATAAATTCATTAAGTTGCACATAATTGTTTTCATATGAATTAAAATAGTAAATTCATCTAAACAAAAAATTCGAGTCAACTTACCTAGTTGTTCTTCTATATAAAAAAGAATATTGATTTAAAATAAATAATTAGTAAATCAATAAAAATAAAACAAAAAAAGAAAAGGAGTCAATATAAAATATATATACCATCCGTGGCATTTCTAGGTTTAATTGGAATGTTGAATTTAAAAACTTTACTATATTCTGTATTCTTGCTTAATTGAGTATTGATTTTTGATTTTAAATTTATAGATCGAATATTTGGTTTTTGTTGTCTATCCATTCCATTGTATAATGATTGAATTAATATTATAATTTTTCTCCATATCGTATTTACATCAGGTCTATTATTGTGATTAGCATCCCAACATTGCTTCATTAAAGTGGCATATTCATGTGGAATATAATCATAAACCTTTGGTCGACTTCCTTTGACTATATCAAGAGCTAAATCCAAATCATGTTTACGGTCATCAAATGGAGTTTCGCCTGTTACTATTTCCCACATTAATATGCCCATACTATATATGTCTGATTTTTTTGTATAAATTTCACCACAATGAACTTCAGGTGCAATGTATGGGAGGTTCCCATAAATACTATTTGGTGGTTTGTCAACTGGCCCACTCAATCCCAAATCACTAATATATAAGGCAGTAGTTTTTATTAAATATAGAATATTTCCTGAGTGTAAATCTCTGTGTATTATACTTTGGCCATGAATATTTTCTAAACTTATTGCTATTTCGTAAACAATATTATATTTTTGTAACAATGTAAGTGATTGATAATTATCTTTTAAATAATGTTTTAAATTATTTTGATAATATTTTAAAACCAACATATAATCTTGGGTGGTTGGATCTTTGGTTAGCCCATAACATCGAACAAGATATTGAGTAGCATTATCAAGGGTGAAACTTAATATCACCTATAGATTTTAAAATATATAATCAATATTCTAAAATATTAAACGGAAATTAACGAATTTAATAATAATAATTCAACTTACTTCTTGAAACCAATGCACATTATTACTATTTGAGTTATTTAATCTTTTTAAAACAACCTTTTTCCTTCCTAATCTTTTCAACGTTTGACTTTCAAAATTCCACTTATGATAGGATCCATCTTTCCAAATTGCTGTATAAATGGTAGCACATCCTCCTTCTGTCAGATGTTCGATATTCTCAAATCGATCATATTCAATCCATTCACTTACACAATAAGGTGATATAGTTTTTCGCTGACATTCTTGAATTAATTTGTCAATTTCTTTATTTCCAGATGACCAATTTCCAAAATCATTTTCTAAATATTTACGAATACAAAATTCGCAGTATTGGGTTGCTTGATGCCAATTATGACAATTGTTGCATTGTTGTTTTTCTACAGAATTATTACCAATTCTTAATGAATCATATAACCTCTGTAATTCTTTAAATAAAAATTTCTTTTCATTTTTAGTGAGAGATGAATCATTTTCTATCATATTTTTTCGATATTCTTCTTGCTCAATAATTGTTTTATGAATATTGGCGTCTAGAGAATAATACGTTTTATCCCAAGCATCATTTAATTTATCATTCCAATCAATTTTTTGAGCAGACATTTCCTATTTCATTTAAAGTTAATATTATTTAAATGAATAAATAATTAAATAATTAATTGATATCTAATTATTTGTTTATTAATTTATTTACTAATTAAAATAAGATATAAAATTACCGTAGATTATTTTAATATATAAGGTTTATTATTTAAATTGACTTTGCTTATTTATTAATGACTGGAAAATATGTGCGTATGAAATTATTTACGTAAATAATATTAATTTAAATTTGATGTTAAAACTGAATGAGTTAATTTGAGTAATAATAGAACCGAGTGTAATATATTATAATTTGTGGCAACGGAATAAAATAATAAATGGACGGGACACGAGATATAAAAATTCGAGCAAGATTTTTAAACGGGGTTAGCATCAAAATATTTGATTTTTTTTTTCTCAAGATCAACTGACTTAAATTCTGTCCGACATCACACAAAAATTAATGATATACATGATTACATAATTTAGAAATCCTAAATACTTTATATTTTCTGCATTCGGATTCGAATAAGGCAAATTCTTTTATATTTATTATATTTTGCCAGATTTCTTTCTTGATGATGGATTCACAAAATTTAAAGAAAAATTGGTAGTGGATTCTATGGATAAATAATTATTTTCTTTAATATCACTTTATTTTTTCCAATATTTGGATTCCATGATAGGATCTTTATAATTTTATTATTTTTCAATACTTTGGGATCTTAATAAGTTCTTTATTATTTTATTATATTTTCATTTTTATTTTCATTAAGTGCTGATCCGTCTAAATCTGCAGCATGTGATATATCGATCATATGTTAAAATTCGGGATAACTGTTATATTAAATTCTTAATATGTCGCTGAATCATTTCTTGATCCATAATAACTATGATAAAATATTCAGTTATTTTGGTTGATGTAGGTACAATTGTAGAAGATTACATTATGTTCAATATTCTCGATATTGGTGGGCATCTTCAAATTTTTCTATTTATAAAAAATCCCACGTATTCTCCTATTCGACTTGGTCAAAAAACATGTACCACTTTAAAGGAATATTATTTTTTATTACAGTTCAAATCAATAAAGAAAATTCTTTAATCTCACAATATTATTGTGAATATAATAATGGTACAAGTGTTTCTTCAAGTTCTAGTACAGCAATTTCAAATTTATATAAAAATTTTTTCAAAAAAAGCAACATGCTATTCATGACCTCTAGTTATAGGGTGGGATAATGAAGAGATGGTTCAAAAATTATATGAAAATATCAGATGGATACCATTTTCAATTTATATTGGTACGTTTGAAATTTTTGTTTATCCTATTGGACTATTAACAGGTTCTCTTGTATTAAATGCTGGAAATGGTTATAAATCATCATTGATTCATATTTTAGAATGAAAGCAAACAATTATTGTTTCAAAAATAGAAAATAAGACTTGTAAATTGAAATTTACAAGATTCAAATCTTTCCAAATTATTTGTGGGAACAACACCCGAAGAAGTTTGACAAAAATCTGGATTTTTACAAAAATATAATGGAAATGAAATTTTTGAATTGGAAAATGAAGCAACACAAAAAATATTACATGATTTTAAGACTCCAAATTGTTTAGTTCATGAATGGAACAATATTGATCATGTTGAAAAAATTTATTATTATCATCTTAAACATAGAACATTAATATCTATTGATTATAAAAATTTGTTATAGATCATATGATTATTGAATTACATACAATATTAAAAAAAATATTATCCAAAAATTATTTATTTAATGAATGGAAATTAAGTGCATGGTAATCATTTCTTCATGTGCTTGGATGTACAAATATTATTCCATGGCCTGAAGAAGAATCTGAGGTAAAAACATCATTATTATAATTTTCAATTAATAATAATTATTATATTTTATGCACATGGAGGAAATCATTTTAATGAAATAGCAGACCAACAGGCACAAGTTACAGAAAAAAAATAAAAAAGGGTCAATTAATTAAAATTAATTACAAAAACATTGAAAGTAGATCATTTATTCCAACATGGGAAGAAATACCTCTGGA